AAAGAGTGTGGCCAGCAGGACTAGGGAGTGATCGTCCTTCTGTACTTGTCCCTGTTGAAGATGCACCTCAAATACTGTGTTCAGTTTTGGGCCCCCTCGCTACAAGAAATAGGTGCTGGAATGCACCCAAAGAAGAGCAATGAAGCTGGTGAAGGGTCTGGAGCACAAGTCTTAGGAGGAGCAGCTGAGGGAACTGGGGTTGTTTAGTCTGGAGAAAAGGAGGCTGAGGGGAGACCTTATTTCAATCTCTACAACTACCTGAAAGGAGGTTGTAGTGAGGTGGGTGTTGGTCTCTTTTCCCAAGTAACAAGTGATAGGACAAGAGGAAATGGCCTCAAGTTGCTCCAGGGAAAGTTTAGATTGGATATCAGAAAAAAATTTATTCTCTGAAAGTGTTGTCAAGTGTTGGAACAGGCTGCCCAGGGAAGTGGCTGAGTCACCATCCCTGGAGGTATTTAAAAGACACGTAGATGGTGTCACTTAAGGACATGCTTTAGCAGGGGACTTGGTAGTGTTAGGTTAGCAGTTGGACTCCATGATCTTAAGGATCTTTTACAACCTAAATGATTCTTTGATTCTATGATTCTCAGTTTCTTTAACATGCCTTTTCTTTATAAAGACAGAAAACGTCAGGCAAGAAGGCCCAGCATTTTTTGACAAAGATTTTGAGGCAAAAGTACATACAGATTTCAAATGGGAAGTCTGTGCAGAGCAGTGCACCTGAATAAGAAAACCATTTTTGGGGAGGAGGATTCAGATGTAGAAGCCAATGATGCCTCTGCTGGTCTAGCAAATCTGAGGGATTTGTACATTCAACCAAGGAAACAAAACAAACCCTGCCATCCGATACCATACCCAGAAGGGCTACACTTTCACAAATTAAAATAATTTTGCAGACACTGATGAATGAAAGTACCTGACCACTTATTAAAACCATTATCTAGTAAGAAAATCCATCACAAAAGGTTATTGCATTCTCAAACACCACACCATCAACGCCAGCATCTTTAGATATAAGAATATGAGCTCCCATCTGGCAGGTGCCATCTGGAGCCCTGGGAATCATATCCAATTCTCTCATCATGTTAATAAATCCCACAGCACTTTACAAGGAAGAAAAGCACTGTTCCTGCTTCCATGGGGTTGGATTAATTGCAGGCTTCCTCTGTGACAAGTGCTTCAATTTTGCTCAGCATAGTTTGGTTGTTTTTTTGTTTTGTTTTTTTTCCAGCTTAAACCATCTATCATTTATTTGAAATGAGAGCCCAGAGTGCTTTCATAGGAGTCCCTAAAGGGATTTTGGGAGACTAAAGTTTTCCATTTGAACTTCAAAAGGATCTGATGTTACCCAAGCTGATGGCTGGGATTGTCCTAACAGGAAGGAACACAAGCGAAGCTCAAAGCTTCTGTGGCTCTTTCCAGGTCCTGCCGAGATGAACATACTACCAAACACTTTCACATCAACCGCTCCAGACCCTCTCAAGTTTTGTCACAACTAAAGGCCAGGAGAACAGCAAAACACTATCAGGTCGAAACTGCCAGTGAACACTATACATCCGAGACAAATAAACCCCACAACAGCTAGTCAGCATATTCGCTCCGCAAAACAAAGCGCAACAACTTGAGCTAGTGGAGACACAGCTTCATAAATCAACAGGGAAAAACATGGCTCCATTTGACGCTGCAACATTTTGGTGCAGAGACCATACTGCCATATTTTCATGGTATTGCTCTTCAGCTTCTAAAATGCAGGAAGACTTTTCAGTTGGGGAGGGGGGCACCTCAGAAACAAACCTGGGGGCATCTGGCTTGGCTGCTAGTCCAAGTTTAGGGGCCTCTGTCAGCAGAGTAGACATATCTTAACATAAGCAGCTAAACTCAAAAGTTGAATAAAAGGTGGCATTTTGAGAAGAAATTACAAACAGAAAGAGGACACCAATGGTAAGGAAAATGTTGAAGATGTTGGAGAAAGCTCTTAGAACAGGAAAGGGGGAGTATCATAGTGCAAGAGCCTAATTCAGGTGAGTAAATAAGGTAAACAATAATTTGCAGCTAAAGGAAAAATTTGCTTCTAGTTACATTTTAAATTATGGCAAAATACCTTGGGTCCTAAATGTACTATATCATTAAGAAAGTGTCAAGAAGTCTTAAAGAGAACTGGACCATAAATCTAGAAGTATTGCCACAAAGCATGTAGAACCCGCTTGTGCTGAATGGATCAAGTTCACATGCAATACTGAGAGCTTTTTTTGCAGGTACTATTTGCTTTATTCCATTTAACAGCAATTGCTCCTTAACTCATTTGCAAATAATTCAATACCAATGAACAAATTAGGAGGTTTTAAAAAAAAACCCAAAATGTATTCTTCTTTCCTAGCAAAGAACCAGGCTGTGAGAGGATGATGCCATAACTGACCATGATTTGAATACTGTATAACCTAGCACCACCTGGTTACGTCTAACTCAAGAGTATTTTCTTCAGCCACTGTGAGTACCAGTACTGGAGCAAGCACAGAAGGGACTTTTTGGTTTATGTTTTTGCAGGACAGCAGCATCAACACAGAGTGATCATGAAATGACAACCTATTTATTTCAGTGTAAGAAAGGACAACGACCAGAAATGTCCGCACAACTCACTAACTACAGAAGATATCTCATTTATTTAATCAGTTAATTTTAAATTAATAACATTTGTTAACTTTTTGCATATGTATGCAGCACATTCAGCATAATTTTACATAACTTGTAACTTTAAAGTGTTGCATTTCATTACTATCAAAATGCAAGTTTGACACAAAGAGAGGAGGAAAAAAAAAAGGAAACAAATACCAGTCAGCATTTCTACCATCATAATGTAAAAAATTACATATCTAAATAATTGTCTAACAAGCTGTAAAGTTGTTTAAATGTGAATACAGTACACTTTTATGGATGGTCAGAAGGAAAACCCAAATATCATGTAAAAGCTATATCTAGTTGCAAATCTATTTTAAGGATTACAAATTGAGAAGAATCAACCTTTCAACAAAAATCTGTCTACCACTTACAATAACTGATAAAACAACTGTTTAACCTGTATCGCTTCAAATCAGCAACTTCATATAAACTGGACATCCGTACTTGAAACGAAGTATAGAAACTGCGAAGTTTCAGACAATAAAACACAAACTGTAGAATAAGTTTTAAGACTCCTTATAAAGCACTCTGTATTGAAGAAGCACACAGGAGAACGCATGCTGCTTTGGAATTGTTTAGCCCGTGTATTCCTCAAGCTACTGAGTAAAAAAAGCAAGGATTTTGGAATCCTATAGTTGTATAAACATTTCTATTATAGGTCCTCAAGAAATAAGCCATGAACTCTGTAGAGGAGATACACATATGACAAACTTGAGGTAATTTGTCTAAGAACAGGCAAGAGAAGCTAGCTAAACTCTGCAATTATTATTACCTGGTGCAAGGAAAACCCCAGGCTAACATAGAGATATCAGATTTTTCCTAGAACCACAAATAGATGGCAACTGAATTCTGCCCAAACCCAGTAATAAAAAAATCTTGACAAGACAAAGGAGTTACATATAAAAAGGTAATTTAGCATCAGTTTAGCAACCCCGGTGTTTTAAGTGTAATAAAGTGTTTTACAATGACAAGTCCCGATTCACAATGTAAATGGCTTTTAAAACTATGTGAGGACAAATAGTTATAGTAATGATTTGTGTAACAGTAGTGAAAGAACAAGCAGCACAGGCTAAATTCCTTCATTTGCTCCTCAGCACACCATATGAGTTTCCAGGAATACCCATCTTTTTTTTAACCTTCTAAGCAAGCATAGCTGGGCAATCTTAACTGTCTCGCCTAGGATTCTGACAGTAGCATGCTACAGGACCATTTTTTTAGCCAAAACACTAAATTAAGGGGAATTCTGAAACAAGCTTGGCCACTGACATATAGAGAGGCACAGCTCAAAGCAAACTATACCATGGTAGGTAAAACACAAAAGATGTGTAGGTGAAAGCAAGTGGAAAGAGGAGTGGCAACTGAAGAAATAATGGAAAAAGGCAACTTTCTTCCTCCTGAGTTCCCCACCCCTTACTTCTGCCCTTCTGAAGGCATTCTCAAAGCAGCTGATTATAGGACTCATTTTAAAATTCAATCTGAAATAGAAACTAACTCCTTTGTTTAAAGTATATGACTTAAGTATCTTCATTAAAATATTCCACTTTGAAGGCAGAGCTATGTAAGTATTCTTCAGGCAAAGGCCTGAAGAGTAATTCCATCTGAACCACTGCTAGTTACACTATAGCCTTGTATTAAGACCTGAAATTAAAGCAAAGGCTGATACTGTCAACACATGTCAACTATTTCCTAGTATACCTGCAGAGGCCCCTCGGCCTTGTGACCAGCAGCCATACCTAGGCAGTGACTTAAACAAGTACCCAAAGCACATTCATTTCACAGGTCCTTCCCAACTATGCCTTGGGCATTGTTCGCTGAAAAAACATAAAGAATCAAAGCCTGGTATTTGTCTGGTATTGTGATTACAGAGTAGCAATAGGGTAATATTAATTAATCAATCTACTCTCAAAAAACAACTTACAGTTAAATATATTACGAATTGAGAGCTTAACATATCAAAAGTTCAGAAATACCACACCGCTTCAAAAGAGTCACAGCCTATCAGTATAAAGGAAGAATATAAAACTATTTTATTGACCACTGTTCACCAGTATTTACAATAAAGTAAACAATATACAGTCTGATAACATTCAAATTACTACAAAGTTAGTTTTCACCTGGACTTATGACCAAGTGATCCCAAATACTAATAAAAAGAGTGACTCTACAGGTTTAAAGGGCTAGGTTTGGGTAAAGAAGATACATGCACATCAATAGTATATAAGACTACAAAACATCTGTGAGTTTGTTTAGACATTCATTATGATTCTGTCATAACTATGGAAGTTTATGAATGTTTTATAAAAGCTTTTACCTAATATGGAGGAAGTAGTAGTATCAAATGCTCTTGTGATAAATGAAACAAGTTGCAGAAAGCTTTTATTTACTTGCTGTTGATGCAAAACATACTACTTCAAAAAAATACCAAATTTGATTCTTGTTAGAATGTATGCCTCTCACATTACTAATAAATCAAATTTCAGGTTTTAATATTCATATATATAAAAAAGCAATGCAAATAATTATTGTGCTTCATCTTCTGGGCACGAATGCCAAGTTAGTCGCTCTTCATAAAAAGCAATTACGATCTGAGGACACTTCACGTTAGCTTCTTTGGCCAGCACCAGATCTGCCTCATCAGAGTCCTTCCTGATGTAGAACAGAGTGGAGTTTAAGAAAATGCATAATCATTAATTCAGTAAATTTAGCAGCTCAATAGATAGGTCATAAGTTCTGAAAACAGTATCAGCTAGAAATCAGTTTTCAGTATACCTTTCACTACAGCTACCAAGAATTTTCATGCTAATGGCAAGGTTTCATAGTTGTATCTGCCTTCTCATGGTTTTTTTCCTGTTTGAAAGGAAAATGCTATTCAAGGGAAAACATTTATACAGTTACCCACTGCAGTATGCAACGAAAGTAAAACTTTGCTGATTTTGTCTTTTAAAGCATAATCAAAACTTCAAAGTAAGACTTTTAAAAATCAATAGCATCAATCTTAAGAGGTGGTATTTGCATTCAAATTGTATTTACTGTTTATGCAAGTAACTCGCTGTATTTCATACTTCTATTCCTGATGCTGTCTTAAGGTAACAAAAAAATGCCTTCCGGTCTGAAATGCTTCAGATTCGATTTTGAAGTGTATGCTGCCTTTACAACTCAGTTTTGTGCACACATATTCATATTCATATTTGCTGCCTACAATATATCACAAAAAACTAATCAACTGCAACTGAACTAAACAAAAAAAAAAGCCTCTTTTTTGTACATTTCCTTTGTGTTTGGTTTTGTTAATTATCACTAAAGAAATTCAAATAGTCACGATCTGTATTTTGCTACTCTTCTAAGTTTCACATAAAATCTATAGAAAATTTGAAAAGGCAGAAAGGAGACAGAATCTTCCAAAGCACCTATCTTCCTCAGTCCAAGCACATCACATGACAAATCATTTATTTGGAGACCACTCCATTTGACTCAATTCATAAAATTATACCATTCTTAAAGGCTGTGGAAAGCTATCATTCTTCTCATCCCACCACCATAAGAAATATGACCTCCAGGAAATGTTAATTTAATCTCTTGTATTCTTAACACTTGAAAAGGATTTAATTTCATCCTACTTGTTCACTGAGGAGAGGCAAGAAGTCTTCCATCAACACTGTAGCTAATGAAGCTGGCCTACCCTCCCAACAACGCAAACTCCCTCCATCACTCTCCCCTCTTACTAGCCCATAGTGATAAATCACTCCTTCATATTGTTTGCTGTTCTTCTCAGCCTCCTCCACTAGTTCCTTCCAATTCTCTATCCACTTGGTTGCACACAGAACAGCTGGCACTACAGCTGGTTAAAAGGCTGGCTATCCAGCAGCTGGCTTCTCCTTACTGAAACACATAAAGCTGGAATTCTGCCTGCTGTTCCCTCAGCAAGAACACTACTGGGATGCAGCTTTTCCATACAAATGCCCATTTCCTCATATTTTATCAGAATTTACCTTTAAAATTTCTACTTCTGTAAAACTGAACCAATAGAACCTAAAGTTGTTTAGGTTTTGGAAGGAAGAGCGAGTAAGTACTAGCTGATTATACAAGCTTTGTTTTTCTAAGAATACAAGGCTAATAAGATCACCAGCTGACTTACTCGTGAAATGAAGTTGTCTCATTAACCTCAGTGCAACTGCCTGCCCTCCCTTAATAGGGCCAAGAACCGTGAACGTAAGACTTACCATTTCATAAGGAACATAAGCTCTCCACTGCTATCCGTAGCGCCAATTATCCGCTCAGGATCAAGACCCCTTGCAAACCCTCTTGGTTTATCAACCTATAGAGTAAGTTAGAAGATTTATCTAGTTTATATTTTCACATTAGTGCTAGATGCACACATTCTTGTACATACATATATATGTGTATCAAAACAAAAAATATAGCCTTATATACTTATAAAAGCTATAATACATATAACTGCCTGAAGAGACATCAATTTTATTTTTTCATGACTGATCTCCAGGTCAAGTCATTTAGATGTAGAGTAATAAAGACAGATTTTACATCAATGTTTCTAGCACTTATTTCTGAAAATTCAATAGATGAAACAAGTGTTCTAAAATCGTTACAGCAGATAAACAAACAAGCATGGACAATAAAAGCAACAAAAGAGGCAAAGCAAAAATGCACTCCTGGAAGTGGGAAAAACATACACCTTTCCGCAAAACAACAGGCTCAGGTTGGCTTAAGCCAGTTGTGGAACTGCACCCTTGGGGAATACCTCAACTCTTCTTGGCTCACTGAGATTGTATTGGTGGTAAGGAATATCACAACTATTTCCTGTAGTGGTTCCTGAGGTTCACATTACTCTTATTGAGACCATGGCCACTACTGTACCAGATGAAGCCACACAATTTACTTTATACAGAAACTAAAATATTCTTTGTATTAGTCATCTACTGTTCCTTCTGATGACTTCCAACCTTTTCGACAGTAACCACACATCCAACAACTGTCTTCAGTAAACCACTGACACTGCCAACCAGTGTTGTTTCAAATTGCTAGTGCAAAACTTCACAGACAAAAATGTGAACTATTGAACACATTATTGTATGCACATTGTTTTGTATTTATCAGCTCTAAGCTTGTCATGTTGTTCATTCACTTAAATTGTAGGAGAAACCCAGATCTTTAAGAAAAGGTAGGAACTTTCTTCAGTCCCTCATTCTGTTCCCTCTCCACCATCATGTCTGGTCCTAATCTAAGTAACTTGCCTGGTCTTCACATTTTGCCATCTTGCCACTCACCTATTCAAAATCAAATAAGCCAAAACAGAACTTAATCTTTGTTCCATTCATGAACCTTTTGCTCTAATACAAACTGACTACTTAATATCATTCATTAATAACTCTTAACCAGTCTTACTTCCAATTATTGAGTGAGCATCATGGGACAATGCAAGAACTTTTAGTCATCATGTTAATCATCTTTTACCTACCATTTGGACTGTCTCATTAACCACCATGAAAGATTACCTTTTTCAAACCACAGTTCCAAATGCTGAGTGATTTTTACAGTTTTAAACCCATGTTTGGTCTCATTCTCAAGGTTACAATAGGGTTCTTGGGGAACGGGGATGGAGAGGTAGGGAAGAGATGCAGGAAAAATGAAGCTTAGCACATGAACATATACTTACAGAATCACGCTTTTTCTTTGATTTACTATCATCGGATTCGCTATCTGACAAAGATTTTCTTTTGGCACCATCTGTTTTTTCTTTACCAGCTTTCTGAGAGTTCAGAAAAGCTTCAATTAGCTCTGGACAATCTAAGTTTTCTTCAGGTTCCCACGTGTTGTCAGCACTGCAACATACACACATTTATGTAAAACTAGGAAAAGAAAAAAAACGTAAAACTAGCCACATGGCTCACCTTAAGCAAGTCACTTTTTTTCTCATCACGCAAGGCAGGTTTCTTCAACCTAAGGATGCTTATCTTGCCATCTTTAGTGACTTTCATCTACTACATTTGATGACTGAAATAATTATGCTCTGCTATTGGTGAAAAACAATGTTCTTAAACTGGAGATACAAAATAGACAGCTCTATTAAATCCCATTATCTGTGTGTGATCACAGGAATGAAAACAAGCAACCCCCTCCCTACGAAAACCTACCTGTCCATTTAAACTGACTCCCTTCCCTGCTTCCTCTAAAGACTGTCCATGCAAACAAACTATAGGATATGAGCACTAAGACTTACAGAGAACAGAATGTACACAACATTCACTACACACTGTGTTAGTATAAGCTTCTATATGCAAGGAATACTCTCAAAAGTTGTCTCCAAGCACTGACTTCAACTATACCTAGAACTATCCTCCTCTTTCAGTTGATTACAGGAGAGAACAAAGGTTCTATGTCCAGAGCTGGGAACTGCAAATGTTCCCGTGAGTGTACATTTTGTTAACTAAAATTTTAAGAAGTCGCTGAATGCTTCCTGTAACAACTAAGCACCTCATCAGAAGTCCTCATGCACAAATACTGCCACAGCACTGCTGCACAAGGAGGATGCCTACAAATTATTTTCTGTTACTAAACCATATTTTTACAACTTCAAATCAGACCCTCGAATACTTAACACATTTTGGTTTGCATTTATGCACTTTACCGCTACACAAATTTCAGTTGTTACTATGCAGAATTTTGCAATGCAATCACTTTGGGAGATATGCAACAACAATATGACTACATATGTAACTACTTATGTTCAAATGCTAGGTGGATCACCTTTTTTTCAGCTAGTAGTCTGCCAGAAAGTGTCAAGGAAGGAGGGAAAGCGGGAGGGAGGGAGAGAGAGGGCACAACTATGTGCCTTCTTTAACAATCAACTTTTTAAGTCCACTGTAAGGCTTGGTTTTCTTGTGTTTCCCCACGTCCTGGAAAGAGACTCAAAAGATACCTTTCGGGTATGCCTAATGAAGGCAACCAAGCCACAGAATTCCTTATGCAAATTCATCTCATTTGAAAGCAGTTCAGGAAAGTGAATAATAAGCAAACTGCTTCAAATTAATTTCTTCAGAGCTGCTCACACCTTAACTCCCTGCAAAATTTCTTACTCTGAAGTAACATTCATTCCACCACGTCTAGAACTGTCAGTCTAGCTCACCTTCATAGATATTGACATAAGCTAAATCAAAGAACACTGCTAAAAGAACACTCACTAAGGACTTGGTAAAAGCCTTGGAACATTTAATGTAGCACAAACATTAAGCTACATATATTATTTTCATACTTGACTGCCCCATTTGAATATACATTCATGGATATACTTCCCTTTAAGTTCTTTAAAATGTATCCCTATCATCCAATCCCCTCTCAGCACAGTTACTTCATATAAATGGTTAGTATTTAGCATTTTATCAGAAAAAAAAAAAATAGGTAATGCCTTACTCTGTAAATCCTTTCCACTTCAAGTAGTATTCCACCTTTCCGTTTACAACACGTCTGTCCAGGACTTTCTCCACAACAAATTCTTCAGGTTCTGCCTCTTCAACTTTTTTACCTTTGCCATTCTGTTTCTTTCCCATTTTGTGCTACAAAAGAAATTCAGAACGACACTATTCATTCTTCTGCTTTACACAGTTACTTCACTGGCCAAATCCAACTTTGCTCAGTAAACAGCAAAGAATCATGTACTTATTCACACTAAAGCCAGAAGCTCAGACTCCCTTTACATTAGTGCATGTGGTCAGGTAACCTGAGCAAGACATGCTAATGTTTTGTGTTTTTTTCAGTTGCTTAATGAGATATCCAACATCAGTTTTAAAAAAGGTGAAATATTTTTGTCCATACAATCCATGCCTCCACTCCCCATATAAATTTAATTCCCAGAGTGCTACATGCTCAAAAATTCATGAAGCTTCTAAAAGTTCACTCTATGCCTGTGAAAAGGCAGAGGGCAAGAAGGATAAGGCTGAAGTAAGGAAAAGTAATGAGGGAATTGTGAAAAAGTATAAAACAGAAAAGGGATGCTATTCAAAAAAGGTGGTTACTACCTTTTCAAAAAAAAGGGAGAAGCTGATGGGAGCAAAGTTTATGATGTACTGCTACAATAAGCAAAATACTCAACAATATCCCATAACTACTGAGCAGGATGCATGCTAGGAGCATTCCATTACTGCAGTCCCTTCTCATTCTTAGCCACGCACCAATGTAACCTACATTCAAACAGATGTCACAAAGGTGCAAAAATTTAAGACAGCTACACTTAAGTACAGGACTTAACACAGAAATGAATTTTTGCTAACTTAAAAAACTTCATAAGTGTTTTAAGTTTACATTTAATACTTCAAATAATATTAAGTTCTTAAAATAAGTATTACATCCACATCATCCTCAAGGCATTCCCAGTTTAATAAGGCACAATTAAACAGTAATAGAAGGACACATTTCAGAATTTCCTTGTTTGTAATCTTAAAAAGGTTGGAACAAGCCTATCATGTTGTCGTATCATGTTTCTGGAACACTAGCAGACCAAAAGTATTTTGCATGCCATTTTGGACTGCACCTTATAAGGAAATTGTTAAAGTGGCAGCCATAAACTAATGGGAGCAGTATTAAGCTTCTAAAACATATAGTCATGCAGCACCCTAAATCAAAGTGGACAGAACTAATTCCTCACTAAGGTACTTCCTCTAGAACAGAAAACAGACAAGCAAAAACCAGTAAGCACCTCTACTTGCTTGATGGCCTTTCCCTAGTCCTTGCTAGAATTAATGCAGGTTAGTTTGCAAATACTGCAAAGCAATTTTTAAACCATCAAATTTTTAGACCTTGTAGTATTTTGTCTTGATGTGGTGAAAGGTAAAAAAAGTATGTTAAACACAAGAAAAACTGTCTTCTTTTTGTAAACTGAAGATTTGAAGCCGATTTTTTCTTTCCAAAGCCCTTTGTGCCTCTTACTTTTCATAATTAACTTTTCCCTCCTTCCCCAAAATAGCTTTACTCTGGTTAGCAACCCATAAATTGAAGGTGTAAACAACAAAGACCAGGAAAAGTTTCAAGTTTCTCTTTCAAACAGCAAGTTTCTGTATATGATTATCTCTCATGCTACGTTTGTTTTGATTTGTAAGCACAGAAGAGATTATCTAAAACAGAGCATGTATTTCCAACCAGACTTTAACTGCCTGTATATCCCAGGTGTATTTCAACCAGAGCATTCATGTCTGAAAAGTGTCAACTTAAGCACACTGGCTTTTTTTGCCTCCATGAAAAAAGAATGCAAGACTGAAACTGAAGGAAAATAAAAACATTAAGATGTCCAACTCTTTTATGAAGGCAGCTTCTTTCAAGAAATGGAAGTGTGAAAAAGAGAAACAGGTAGAGATGAGGAAAACAAACAGACAAAAAAAGAGGCGGGGGGCGGGGGGGAAACAAACCGAAAAGACACAAACTCACTATACCATAGTAATAACATTATAATTACTGGTGACGAGGCAAGCAGGCTACAAGTGGGGAACATCTCCATCTGTGTTCTTTGCTGGACTAAAATTCTTTGATTCAATGCAAGATTGTTTTCTGGTACTCTTTTTGGCTTCACTAATTCTTGTCACTTAAACACTTTGGATTTCTGTATCAAAGCAACTATTTTTTTTTCATTTTTTGAGACTGAAGTAGCCATATAATCTTCACAGAAGAAAATCAATGTCATAGGGCTCTGTATTTTTTTCTTGAATTGCAGTAAGAAATAACAAAATCAAGAGTATGTTCTTTTTGTTTTAAATATTAGAGCTTTAATTAGGTCTCATGCGCATCAGCACTGCTTTCCAAACTCCTGAGCTTTTCCAACCTATTAAAATAATCCTTGACTGCAGAGCCTGCAGAAATAATGAATATTTGTTATAAACCTATACATTCTGAGATTACAAAAGCCAATGTAAATCTCAGCCCACAACTGAATGTGGTACATGACTAAAGTTAAAGGGTACTAAATGTCCAGTAGACCCCTGAAGCTCCCTTCTCTAGGGTTGCATGTTGTAAGCTGTAACTTGGGCGTTTGACCACAGAATGCTCATCTATGGCTTGTTTCCCTTTCTGCATTCAGAAGTCACACATGACAGATGCTCTCCAATGGATAATCGGTCTTCTTTTGAGGGGCAAGATTAAAACACTGATGTGACACTGTGGTGAAGGGGTTTAATCTACAAGAGGCAACAAAATCAGAATTACAGTTCCAGAGCTACGCTATCCCTCAATCCATTTAGGTTTTGCATGCAAATACATAATGAAGCAGAATTAGTTATGGTTCCCATGGGAACCATAACTGATTTTCCTGACCTGTGCAGCAAAATTCTCAAGAACATTCAAAAGATTAAAAATACTGCATTCACAGATTCTGTCCTCTCCCTGAGGCACCCCCTCCCAAGGCTGGTTAACTCCTTCTCGGAATCAAATTAGGGAAAAGTGGGCAATCAATTACCAACAGAAAGTTCAGACATTCACCTTGGTAAAATCTTTTAAAGCAGTTTGTTATTGTACAATATAAAGGAAGCATTCTATCGTACTTCTAAGCCAGAAGTTGATACAAGTTTTTAATGCATCTCCATCTGGGTCAACCAGCAATCATTTCAATAACTTTAAGAACAGGCCTTTTGAGTGCATCATAAATAGTTGTTCTGCTATCCAAATTTTGAATTGCACATATGTATTTCTACTTCCCTGCCTCAACCTCAGATGCATCACATGCTATACTTTTTCAGTTCTGTCTTTCACAAAACTATATATCATCATTAGTTGTGCTAGCAACCAATTGCCCTTAGAAGTCCATATTTTAATGTCAAGCAAAGCTTTACAGGATTTGAGATCCATTAATGCATCATTAAAACGGTCCAGGAAGAGCTGACATCTGATAACCTCTGCTCCTATGAAATTCAAAGAAACTGTTATTTGTTAAAAAAAATAATTTCAAAAGGCATCTTAACTCTGCCACATCATTTCCCAACAATGTTATTTTTCACCTGTAAAGACTGCCTTTTCTCAGGCAATCACTTTTCCCCAAATACACTGGGAGAAATTACATGAATACATGATTTGGATTTTGTTTTTTACAAATATGATGAATTACACAGCGTGCTGAAAGGAGGCTAAAAAAATCCTTAGTGTTTTCTACTGTAGGACAGATTAAATAGTGCAGAGTCCTTTAATATTTCCCCCCCCAATAAATCTCTTTAGAATTGGCAGATTTATTAAAGCCAAAGATAATGTCCTTTCTAGTAGCCTTACTTTCTGGATCTGAAATTTTGGTCAGAATAATGCTGGGGAGGGGAGATGTGGATGTATCTTTTAAATGAAGATGCCAAGTTATAAGTTTGAAGAAAAATATGTTGATTAAATCCTTACATACTTTAGGTGTGCATGAACTTACCAATGTAGTTTTATTGGAGGCCATTTTTATTGCAGACTTGCAGAGCTTTTACTAGAAAAATGCATGACAATTAAAAGGAAGTTTACATTACTCAAAGAAAGGCATCCCTATACAAGTATGGTCCTTGTTCCAACCCCCATGTATTCACTGCATACAACATTTCTAATATGGATTAAATCCAGAACAAAAAGTAGGTTACTACTTTGTCCAGCATAACCCAGTAATGGACCATTATGCTAGCCAGGATAAACAACACTGACAAAGTGGTATACAGAGTTGAAGAAAGTTTTTCCCCCAAGGCCTTCTAAGGCACAAAGAAGTTTCTAGGGAAAAGGGGGAGGACCATCAGGGATGCTTATTTCCATCAACCCAACAGAACAGGAATTAAGATTCTAGGAGTTAATCAAGATATAACTAGGTACATTAACTGCAAATCTAGTGGGGAGCAGCTACATATCTGCAATGTAATAATGAGTCACCCATTACTCTTACATCATAGTAAATGCTTATAAACAGCAAATATTTATCTTAGCGCAACTATAATGTTGCCTTCTGATTCTCAGGTTTGCAAGAGTTAAGGTCCTGGAGCAAAATTAACTCAGCTAAGCTGTACATACTACATATTTGACCTACGTAAATGATGTTGAACACAATCCATCCCCTTTTCCATGTCATTTCTAATATCGGCCACTTCCTCAGGCATGTATTATCCCCATCCCACTGCAAACTAAGAACTGTTACAATTCCCCATATGCCTGGACAAGGCAAAAGAGAAAGTCCTTCAGGGCCAGAAAATCTCCCGGACTCAGCAAGCCCGCCCAATTCTCCCCTGACACGGGAGGTGGATTGTGGCAGTCCCCTAGGCGGTGGGGCAGGTGAGGTGGAGAAAGGGCAGGGGCTAGGGCCCCAGGGCAGAGGGCTTGTCTTGTTTGAAAAGCAGGAGGAAGGAGAAAAGAAACAACAATAACAGTGATCATAACAACAATAAAACCCCCGTGCCGCCC